CTGCTAATACTGCTGCTGCTTATACTGCTGCTGCTGCTGCTGGTGGTGATGCTGTTGCTGCTGCTGCTGCTGCTGCTGCTGCTGCTGCAGCAGCGGGCCTTCAGCAGCATGTCGATGGTGGGGTGTACGAGGGAAGAAATGCTGCTGACGCCCAAAAGCAAAAAAGAAAAAAAAAAGAAAAAACAACAGAGACGGGGGAGAGGGAGAGACTGTAAGAGTACAGGATAAAGTATAAAGACAAGGCGGGGCCCTTCTAGCTGCAGGTCACCGAGTCCTGCTGCTGCTGCTGCTGCTGCTGCTGCTGCAGTTTTTGTTGCTGCTACTACAGGTTCTGCGACAGTAGTTGTAGTTGCTGCTGCTGCAAGAGCATCTGCTGCAGTTGCTGCTGTTGCTGCAGCAGCAGCTGCTGCAGTTTTATTGTGTATATGTCCCGCAACAGCAAAAGCAGTAGCAGCAGAAAGAAGAGAAATAAATACATTCGCAGCAGCAACACACAAAGCCTCAATGGTGGGGTTGTTGTGTTTTTTTTTTTTACTAGCAGCAAAGCAGCATATACAACCCTGAAACAAACCTAAAGAAAAAAACACCTGGCTTGCTGCTTCGCTCCATATCTCCTTGCTGCTGAGCAGCAGCAGCCAATCAACAGACAGCAGCAGCAGCAGACCCTGCTGCGCCCCAGGCAGTGCAGCAGCAGCAGCAGCAAGAAGCAGCACGCATGCAAACGGCAGCAACACACACAACCAACACAACCCCACCACCCCCTTCAGCCCCCAACATAAACTAAGAAACACCCACACCCATACCAGCAGCAAGCTGCAGTATATATTCGATACTAATACACCTTCATCTGCTGCTGCTGCTGCTGCTGCTGCTGCTGTTGCTGCTGCTGGTGGTGCTGGTGATCCTGCTGCTGCTGCTGCTGCTGGTTGCGGTGCTGCTGCTGATGATAGCGATGTCCCTGGAGATGATCCTGCTGCTGCTGCTGCTTCTTCTGCTGCTGCTGCTGCTGCTATTTCTGCTGCTGCTGCTGCTGCTTCTGGTGC